AGAGGGGGTTGGGAGTCAGAGCTTGACCCAGCGTGACAGTGCAAAGGCTGGGAGAGCCACAGCGAGGGCCGGGGCTGTGAGCTCCTAAAGGACTTCCCACGGCGAGGGCCATACGTGTGCGCTCACACGCACCTCTGGCAATGTCCCAGGGGACGTCAAGGAGACAAACCCCAGCCCTGGGACCAGCAAGGGCAGCCTCTTCTTCTCTAGGGCGTGGCGGACAGAGCTTAGCATCCCGCGCCCCCGGGAGCCCTGCCCGCTTCTCGAAGCGCGGGTGAGGAAGGGTGGCGATATGTGAGAAAACGGGCATCACCTGCATGGTGACAGGGGTGGGGAAGGCATCCTGGCCCCAGCCCCGGGCGGGGACTGCAGATGCCACCCACTGCCCGCTCCCCGTGGGTGTGACCACCATGGAGCCGCTTCCCCGGTAGGGCGAAAACAGAATGAAGTCGCTCCCAGCGGCCTCGCTCCGTGATGCTCAGACAGTCGGTCTGTGCCTGCAAAGACTCTGCAGCTGGCGCTTTCCAGGAAGCAACTGGAAGCTTAGGGCACAGAAGTGTGTGGGACCAGGCGATCACCGGCCCAGGAGGCTGGGGCAGAAGCAGGAGTGAGCGGAGGAAGAAGTCGCAGCTCCATGCTGGTCTGGGGGGGCCCACGGGGAACGCTGCAGTCTAAGAGCCCATCAGACGTGTGCAGTGAGGGCCCCAAGGCCTGGGCCTTCCCGGAGGGCAGGGGCTTCTGCGGCTGAGATGACCCCGGAAGGGACAGCCTGTGCCGCGGTGCCCTCCCGGGCAGGAGGTGAACTGAGCGCCTGGCTTTTATCTTTCCCCGGCCACCCCCTTTGCTGGCAGCTTACCTGCACATCGATGGGCAAGTTCGGGTTCTTTTCCTGTTTCCCTAGAGGCTTTTCGCCCCCAGTATAAAACAGCCATGGGGGAGGCCTGGCTGCCACCAAGTCCTCCCGCCTCGCCCTCGGGCCCACAGCTGCCCCTGTGTTTCTTGGTTAGGTTCCGGGACCTGGAGGCTGTAATCGCTGAGCTGACCTTGTGAACAGCGTAGGTGGCAGAGGTCCTCAATTCGACAGTCCTCTGGAACACTGTTAAACAAAGGATTTGAGGCCCAGAGAACATAATGAATTTGCTGAATTCCTACAAGACGGTAAAGATGTGGGGCCAGCATTGTGACACAGCTTGCGACACCAGCATCCCATGTGGGAGAGCTCGTTCAAATCCTGGATGCTCTGTTTCCAACCAGCTCCCTGCTAATGCACCTGGGAAAGCAGCAGAAGATGGCCCAAGCCCTCAGGTCCCTTCCAGGTAGGAGACCTGGATGGAGTCTCTGGCTCCTGGCTTTGGCCTGGCCCAGCCTGGGCTGTAACGGCCATTTGGGAAGTGAACCAGCAGATGGAAGCTCACTCTCTCACTCTCTCTCTGTCTTTTTCTGTTACTCTGCCTTTCAAATAAATATTTTTTTAAAAAAATGTAATATTCAGACTCAACTCTCCTGATACCTGATCCAGTTTTCTTCTTCCTTTGCCATCTGCCTTCCGTGGCGCTACACATCTGGCTTCGGTGCCGAACTTGATGGCGAGATCTCTGTCTCGGCAGGAGGGTGGGCCTGCACCCTCTACCTGAACGGCTCAGCCGCCAGCTCCCTCGGGGCCTGACTTAACCAGACGAACACTCAGCTCCACGTCGCACACAGCTGCACGGCGGAGCTGCCTAGTTGCTTCCAGCACCCGTGACCTGGATTTAACGCAGGCAAATGTGGCCGTTCAGTACCAGGGGACCACACCGCCACCAGTTCTCAGCTATACAGGGACACTGCAAAAACTGCAGAATAGCAACACGGAGAGGCAAGTTCATTTCGGCGAAAAAAATCCATGTGTCGGTTTTTCATATGAATTTGCATGAACTCTCAAAAAGCCCCACATACTGTATCTTAGAGAAATTTGAACATGGAGAGATATTAAATTGACAGACCATGTATTTTGCACATAGAAACCAAAGCATTGATTATGAAGATGATGAAATAACTGAATGGCCACTGCTTGCCAGTCACTGTGCAACAATGTAGCTTTAACACACACACACACACACACACACACACACGCACACACATTCTCTCATTCCTCTTCCAGCCAGCTTTTCTGGACTGACAAGCAGCTCCCCAAATTTCTGTGGCTCACACAATGAATGATATTTCTTGCTCATGTCACATGCCTTTCCTTGTATTTTTTTTTTTTTTTTAAGATTTATCTATGGGGCCAGCACCGTGGCATAGCGGCCATATGGGCTGCTCCACTTCCAATCCAGCTCTCTGCTTTGGCCTAGGAAAGCAGTGGAAGATGGCCCAAGTCCTTGGGCCCCTGCACCCGTGTGGCAGATGTGGAGGAAGCTCCTGGCTCCTGGCTCCTGGCTTCTGGCTTAGGATCAGCCCGGGTCTAGTCATTGCAACCATTTGGGAATGAACCAAGGGTAGAAAATTCTCTCTCTCTCTCTGCCTCTCTGTAACTGTGCCGTGCAAATAAATAAATCTTTTTAAAGAGAGAGATTTTATTTATTTATTTGAAAGGCAGAGTTAAAAGAGAGAGGGAGAGATAGAGAAAGAAATCTTCCATCTGCTGGTTCACTCCCCAAATGGCCACAACAGCCGGGGCTGGGAGAGGTCAAAGCCAGGAGCTCCATCCTGATCTCCCGTGTGGACGGCAGAGGCCCAGGCACTTGGGCCATCTCCTGCTGCCTTCCCAGGTCGTTAGTAGCGATATGGACCAGAAGCAGAGCAGCCGGGAGTCAAACCTGTGCTGCTAGGATGTGGGCTGTGGGAGTGGCCACTCTGGCAGAGGAGAAGAGAGGGACACTCACAACCCCTCAGCCCCAGGCTCCTGTCTGGCCCTGCCTGCGTTGCGTGGGCAGTAGCGGGCCAAGATGGTGATCCTCCCACAGGAAAAGGGTAAGGACAGTAAGACCTCGGTTCTTCCAGAGGGGTCACCACCCAGCCCTCCTCACCTCCAGAGAGTGAGGAACCTTGCCCAGCGCCTGGGCTCCTGGAGACCAACCACATCTTTGCAACTGCGCTACAATCCCAGCCAGCCTGCAAGGGTACTGCTGGGTGGAGGCAGAACGGGGATCCCCGAGGACAGGGGCTGGGAGCACTCCAGTCACCACCTCGGGGAGCACACAGGTGAGAGAGTATCACGGCCGCCGCGGGCTCCCAACACAGGACACCGCCCTGGGCAGGCGGAAAGAGAGCCTAGATCACCGGGGCCTCGAACCCAGGGGGCGATCAGAGGTTTGTGGCATTTTTGATCTGGCTAAGGGCTGCAGGGTGGGTTGGCACAGGGAGAACGTGAGAGCAGAGACCGACAAAGGCTGCACACGTTCAGAGCCAACAGAGGCGTCTTGAACAAGGATCTGGGCGGTTGGAAGAACAAGTCAAGGCCAGAAACTCAGACCCTGTGGCTTCAGAAATTCGTTCCGGGGCCTGCGCTGTGGTGCAGCAGGTTAACACCCTGACCTGAGGCACCGGCATCCCACTATGGCCTGGGATAGCAGTGGAGGATGGCCCAAGTCCTTGGGCCCCTGTGCCCGCCTGAGAGGCCCGGAGGAAGCTCCTGCCTCCTGGCTTCGGATCCGCGCAGCTCCGGCCGTTGCGGCCATCTGGGGGAGTGAACCAGTGGATGGAAGACCTCTCCCTTTCTCTACCTCTCTCTCTGTAACTCTGCCTATCAAATAATAAATAGAATAAATCGAAGGAAGGAAGGAAGGAAGGAAGGAAGGAAGGAAGGAAGGAAGGAAGGAAGGAAATTCGCTCCAAGAAACCGTGCAGGAGGCCGCGGGCCACAGGAGTGCCTGGGTTCTGCTCCACATTCCAGCTTCCTGCCGGGGACACCCTCCTTGGGCAGCTCACCTACCTGGGTCCCTGCCACCCAGACGGACGTCCGACCTCCTGGGCCAGCCCTGGCTGTTGCAGGAATTTGGGTACAGAACCAGATGGAAGTCAGTATCTTTGTCTCTCTGCCTCTCAAATAAAAATGAAAATCAATGATATGTTTTTTTTTTTTTCAGTTAGCCCCAGCTCCATCATCTACCCGCTGCTCCCAATAATAATTAAACCCGTGTGAAGACAGGATTTTCACTGTTTGCTTTTTATATTAATCCAAAAGCATATATGGGTCTAAAAAAGGAGCCATGCAAGGAAAGGCTGAGTTCAAGCCCCCGTCCGCGAGGGTGAGACGGCCGCCCCTGCCCCTTTCTGTCTCCCACGTCGGGGCTTCCTCGGAAGCTGGGGATGTGTGGACCCCCAGGGCAGCCGCAGGTCAGCTTCAGGCTGCCGAGAGCCATCCCGGCCGACGGTGCCCTGCAGGCACTGGTGGACCCGCGTCGGAAGCTGCACCTGCAGCCGCGGCTGCGCTGCGATCCGATCTGGACTCGCCATGGACGCTCCTCGTTTAAAAACGAACCCATAACAGTAGCACCACGACACGGATCGATGAAGCAAAGAAATGACCTTGTTCAATGACAAAAAAGGGTGACAAGCAGCAAGGAGACAGGCAGCGGGGCCGGTGACCTCCAGCCGGGAGCGCCTTTCGGGGGGACCCAGGGGAGAGGCGCGGAGGTCGCAGGTGCACGGAAACCCGCCGCGGGCTCCCGACATAGGACACCGCCCCGGGCTGATGGAAACCAAAAGGGCAGCATGGCAGCGCGCGTTCAGCTAGGGGCCGGAGGGAGGAGACCCCCCAACAAGACAAAGGCTGCAGCCGCGGGAGGCCTAAAGTGCGCGTGCGCTACGGAGCGCGCGTGCGCGCGGCTGTCCGCGCCGCGGCCCAAGACGTGGGGGAGGGGACTCGGGAGAGGAGTGAGCCGGGGGCCGTGGGCGGGCCGCTCTCGCGCGCCCCCTGGCGGCCGGAGGAGAAGGCGCCCGCGGAGGCCTCGCGGCCCGCCCCGCCCCTGGGGTGGCTCGTGCCCCCGCGGCTCGCGCCTGCGCCTCCGGTCGGGCTCGGGGACGCGCCCCCTCGCCCGCGCGCGCGCGCTCGCAGCCACCGCCACCCACCGGCTCCGGCACCAGCAGCAGCGCCGCCGCCGCTGCACACCGTCTGCACACCGCCAGCGCCGCCGCCTTCCCTCGGCTGCCCGCTGCAGTCCTCGCCGTCTGCCGACTACCAGGTAAGCGCCGGGACTCAGACACCCGCCTCCCGTGCGCTCCGCAAGCCGCCGCAGCCGGAGTTTAATGCCCACCTGCGGCGGGGGCTGGGGCCGGGCGGCGTGGACCGGGGCGCGTGTGTGTGCGTGCGCTTGTGTGGCTGGGGTCCCGGGCGGAGGCTGTGCCCGCAGGGTGGGGCGCGGATGGTGGCCTGGGGGAGGGGGCTGCGCTCTGTCCTCCATCGCAGCCTTTTGCCGCAATGGGCGTGTGTGTGTGTAGGGGGGAGTCCAATGACGACCCCCGAAACCGAACCTCAAATTCGACTTCTCTGCCGCTGTCTGCCGAGAACAAGACCCGGATCGGGTTCTCGAAAAGACGATGGCTCGCACACCTCCGTGCCCGCACCTCCCCGGCGGCGCCCTCCTCGCCGCCCCCTCCTCCGTCCGTTCCTCCTTCAGAAAGCCACAGGGGACATTTGGGGGCTGGGAGGAACCCGAGAGATGGGGAGGGGGCCAGGCGCTGTCATTCCAGCCGCCCTTCCCCCTGCGCGCGCCTGGCACGGGGACTCGGGCAGCGCCGCGCCCGAGGAGAGATGGTGCGTGGGTCCCCGCGGGGACGCCCTCCGAGGCAGGCGGCCCCGGGCCGTGCGACGTGGACGGACTGCGGGGCCGCGGCTCCCGGCTCGCGGGCGCGCACGGCCGCAGCCCTGCACAGCCGGGCGCGGGGGCTGCAGGTGCCTTTCGGGGCGGGTCCCTTTCTCTCGCTCTGCGCCGGGCGCTCCCTGCCGGAGGCGCGGGGCTGGCGCGCAGGGCTCGCCCCTCACTGCGGCAGTGGGTGTGGACCCGGGTGGGCGGCGGAGGGGGGAGCAGGCTGTGCCTCCTCCCACTCCCACCCCTCCCCCGTTTTTTCCCTGCCGAACGCGAGGTGCCATCTTTTTGCGGCTGTCACGTCTTTCTGTTCCCAAGCCGAGCCGGGTGGTCGGGCTCCGCGGAACGGGGCACGGACTGGCCTTGGGTGGGGGGACACCATCAGCCCCGAAATCGCGGCGTTTGGATGCTGCGGGAGTGAGCGCGGGGGTCGAGCACGCGGAATTTTCTTCGACAGCTCGCTGCTTTGTTCCTAGAGCTTACGTGATCCGTGCTCGCGGCCCCGTCTGGGGGTTTCTTCCATTCCACGAGGGCGTTCAGCCAAGACTCCTAGCCCCCTCGTTTCCCACCCTTTGTCGGCTCTTGGTGCTTGCCGGGGGTCCATGAGCCCTGGTCACGAGCCTCCGGGGCGCTGGTGGAACAGCCGCCACCCTTCCCGGAGGTCAGCCCCACGCGGGGGAAGCGCCCTCCCTGCCCAGGGGGGTGGGATTCGGGGTCTGGGCGCGCCGTGCCCCTCCCGAGGCTGCCAGCGTCCTGGGGGACACGCCCGCGCGGCTGTCCGGCGATGGGGGCGCGCTCGCCGCCGGCGTCTCTCCCGGCTTTACGCCCTGTTGCTACGCCAGGCTGGAGAATGTCAAGAGGGGGCGTGAGGTTCCCTCGGGCGCCACCGCCACACCCATTTTTTTCCAGACCCACCGAGCTAGCTGAGTGGGGAGTTGCCATGGGAACCGCACGCGTCCGGTGACGGACCCTGGCGGCGTCGCCCCGCCCCCTCCCCGCGGAAATTGGGGACCCAGGGCGGGCCTCGAGATGCGCGCGCTGGGGAGTCCCCCGTCCCTGACCTGTGGCTCTTTCTAATTAGTCCCCGGCGGCCGCAGCCACCCAGACAGGCGTCCCGGATGTATTTTATTATCTTGGCTGGGCTAATTAATATTGCTAAGTGCGAGATTTTCACTTAAGAGTCGGAGTTCGTCGCCGCATTTGGCAGTGAGACGGGGGTATGCGGCCACCTCCCGGGTGATGGCTTTCCGCTTTATTCCAGCGCTGGAAACTGGTGTGGGCGTGGGGCTCCGAGAGCGATGAGCGTGGTCGGGCCAGCTCGTCCGCGCAGGCCGCTCGGGTTCCGCTCCTTGGAACAGCCTGGCTGGGGTGGAGCGCCCGCAGGAGCCGCCCCGGACTGAGTCAAGCATCCTTTTCCCCCAGCCCTTCGCCCCTCGGCAGCGCTGGGGCGGCCCGGGAAAGGGGGAGCCCTTTGCAGCCCCTGGGGAGGAGAGGGAGCCCGGCAGGCACAACACCTTTAGCCCGGTGCCATGGTCCGAGATTTCGCTCCGTTTTGGGGGGCTTAATGGTGTCACCCCAGGACCTTGAGGGAATGCGCAGCGCCCAGCCCCCGCGGTGGTGCCTAGGGACACTCACCCCCGCCCCCTAACGGCTCCAGCAGCGGGGGGCTCTTTTCCCTCCCGGGAGACCCCGCTTACCCCCTGGTACTCAGGAACCTGTAGCTCCAAGTCCTGGCCCAGTGCTGGCTCCCCCTTGGGACAGCGACACTGGCCGGCCCCTCCCCCACCCTGCCCCCTCCACGCCCATACTACGGTGGAAGAGAAATGTCTCTCCCGCTTGGCTGATTCTGAGCTGTGTTTTATGAATTTCCGGCCCCTCGTCTCTAACCCTCCCTCTGAGTACAGAAAGAAATGTGTGGCTGGCTGGAGGGGGAGAGGAGGGAAAGCCCCCCCCCCCAGGTCCACAGCCACTTATGACGCTAATCCACCCGCTGGCGTTTGCCTCCGTAACAGGTGTGTTTGGGGCAGTAGCCTGGCTTGGCTTGGGGTTCACCTTGGATGATTTGGGAGGGTTTGTTGGCTTTGCTGGGTGTTGGTGAGTGACAGTCGGTGGCTTGTGTGTCCCTGCTGGCCCAGGCCTTCTCTGCACACGCCCACCACGGAAGGGTGTGGCTTTTAAGTGGTTTCTAGTATCAGGCTCTGCTCCCCAGATAGGAACAAAAGGGATGAATGCCCCTAGGACGCTGGGAGGAAACTTGGAGTGGGTTTGATTGAGCAGAGGTCGGGTTCATCCCAGCTGGAAAGAACCCCTGCTGCTGACCCCCGTGGCCTTGGAGTTCAGGGCCACCTGGAGAGGTGACAGGCCTGTGGCTCCCTTGGTGTAGGCTGACTTTTCCTTCCGGATTTTAACAGCGCCTGCGGCTCGTTTCCCGACATCGTGTTGTATTCCAGGTTCCCGCGGCTCTCAGCTCTCACGCCTGTGGCTTAAACGGTGCCACCGCTGTGTGCATAGACGCTTACTTCTCCAGCTGTGTCTGTGATCGTCCTTAACAGGCCTTCCTGGCCTGCCTTCCAGTGTTCAGTTAGCATCTTTCTTCTTGTGCTCCGCCCAAAGGATCAAAACCAAATGGGTCTTAAGGACCTGAGTGGAGCGAGACATGCGGGAGGTTCTGGCCCTTGTCCATTCAACAAGAAAGTGGGTGGAATACAGGGCAGATCGGCGCTTTCTTCAAGGTCCTGCATCAGAAAGATTTGGGGACAGACCAGCCCGGTTGGTCCCAGCTGGGACCAGATGGCAGCCAGACAGCTGCGTGTGCCCCGGAGCTGCAGCTCATGCCCCCTTCCCTGCCCCGCGCCTTCCCCCTTCCCCAGGGCAGCTCTGCCTGCTCACAGCCCCCAGCCTGGTCCCCTCAGCTCACCTTGCCATTTTGGGCAGAAGGTGAAGAAGTGCCCACCACCTGGGCGGGGCGGGGGGGAGGCCCCATGGGGCCACCCAGGAGGCCGCACCTGCTGGCCTGCAGGACATGGGGGCTGGGAAACCCCCACTGACTGCTCCTCCCCCACCACCCAGAGACCCCTCGGCCCCTCCACACCCTCCGAAATGCCCATCTGACCATCAGGAGCCCGGTGCTTCCCTGGGCAACCTGGAGCAGTGTTGTGGATGAGTGGAAGCAAAGACCCCAGCCGCTGGGCAGCGACAGGCAGGGAGCCGCCACTTCCCTGTAAAACCGAGGTTCTTACACGGCCACTGAGGCGTCCACAGGAACTCCTTATTTTCACACCTGGGGTGGGTGCACTGGTGTGGAGTGGTCAGGCCTGAAACTGGACCCCTCCCTGCAGGCCTGAGATACCCCGGCACTGTTGTGATTGACTCTCTGATTTTATCCTCTCCGCGTCCTCTAGGGGGCGCTGTTGTTGTCACCCTGCCACAGACAGGGAGCCCCAGCACAGAGAGGCTTAGACACTCCTGGACGGCCACACAGCCATTGAGTGCTGGAGCTGTCAATCTGACACTACCCCGCCCCCTTTCAGCCACACCTGGGTTCACTAGACCTTTGTGAGAATCCCAAGCACCAACCATGATATGGACCCAGTGGAATGTTCTGATTGCACAGACTCAACAAATGAATTTTTACAGGCGTCTGTGATTGGAGCATGGCCTGGGATAGGGTGAGAGAGCTGTGGAGTTAAAACTCCCAGTTTCTGATCTGCCCCAATGTGTGAAACAGAGAGATGCCCCCCGCCAGGAACCCTAAACCTTTCCCAGGGTCTCTGGATTGCTGTGTCATGGGAAAGCTGGAAATCAAGACTGGAGCGCTGAGACCTGGATTCAGCCCTGGTTGTCACTGATTTCTTTTTAGACTGCTATTTATTAATCCCACATTTCATTTTTCTGGAACTCACCCTCTTTTTTTAATATAAGATTTACTTATTTATTTGAAAGGCAGAGTTACAGAGAGGAAGAGAGAGAGAGAGGACTTCCTTCTCTGGTTCACTCCCCAAATAGCTGGAGCTGGGAAGCCAGGAATCTGGAGCTTCTTCCAGGTCTCCCATGTGGGTGCAGGGGCCCAAAGACTTGGGCCATCTTCTACTGCTTTCCCAGGCCATAGCAGAGAGCTGGATCAGAAGTGGAGCAGCTGGGACTTGAACCGGCGCCCATATGGGATGCCAGCACTGCAGGTGGCGGCTTTAACCACTAAGCCACAGCACTGGCCCCCGGTCACTGACATTTTAGGGACATCAGAGGCTCTATGCCTCTGAGGTTGAGCATTGGCACCCTGATGGGTATAACTCTGAGACCCTGGGTGTGTGTGGAGCAGGCTGGGCTCAGGCAAGCCCTTGTGGAAGGATCCCAGGTCTCCCTTGGCAGAGGTGGGC